GCAAACCCGGGGCCCGCGGAGCCGCCCGCGCGCGATGCTCTGGCGGCGCCGCCGGCCGCGCCCCAGGAGTCGGGCGCGGGCGACGCTGGCGATGGCGCCCCCTCGAGCAGGGAGGGCGCGAGCGTCGCCCCATCTACCACGTCGACCGGGATGGCCGATGTGGGCGGCGGCGAGGACGACCGCCGCAGCAGCAGCAGCCGCGGTGGCGGCGGCAGCAGCAGCAGCAGCGGTGGCGGCAGCGACAGCGGCAGCGACACGGATATTCCGGTGCTCCGCGGGCCCGAGGAACGGAGGCTCGCCCGCTTTGGCGAGCCGGCCGAACTCACCAGCCGCCTACTCAGGGAGAACCCTCGCCGGAACACGAGGTACGAGTCGTCAACGAGTGCCGAAGGTCTGCTCGCCCGCCATGCATCGGCGGCCGGGCTGCCCACCCTGCCCATCACCAGCACGGAGGAGTACACCCACTGGATGCTCGCGTGTGTGGTCGACGTGGTGGAAGGGCTAGAGGCGAGGGCGGTGCAAGCGCTGCTGTGCGAGCGCGCGGAGGAGGCCAACATCGCGCGCCAAGAGGCAGAGGACTTCCTGCTGGGAGCGGAGGACCTCGTGCTCAACTCTCCAGACGCCTTCGTGAGGGCCCTGGCGTCGACCGAGCTGAGTACAGAATCCCCCATAGGACCGAAGCGAGATGACGAAAGTGGAGGGGAGTGGCCGGTGAGGGAGGCCATCGGCAGCATGATGTGGGTGTCGACGTTCTCGCGCCCGGACATCTCGTTCGCTGTGCGTGCGGTAGCGCGCCACGCCCACGCCCCTGCCGAGAGGCACTGGAAGGCGATACGGAAGATCCTCGCCTACCTCAAAGAGACGAGGGACCTCGGGATCACCTACAAACGGGGATCGGGGCTGGGGCTGGCGGTGTACGTGGACGCTAGCTACGCCGACGCTGAGGATAGACGTTCGGTGTCAGGGCTGGCAACAACGGTTGGAGGAACCGTCATCAGCCACGGTAGCAAGACGCAAGCTATCGTATCTTTGTCGTCTACGGAGGCAGAGTACATTGCTGCCGGAGAGGGTGTGAAAGAAGCTTTGTTTGTGCGTGCAGTGCTTTCGTTTATTGCCCCAGAGACCAGCGGCGGTAGCATTCAGGTCCTTGAGGACAATCAGGGGGCCATGGCTTTGGTGCAGAACCCCCTTAGCTCAGCGCGTAGCAAGCACATCGACGTGCGGTACCACTTCATTCGTGGATTGTTTAGGTCGGGTGACATCTCGATCAAGTTTGTGTCGACGTCGGAGCAACATGCAGACATGCTCACCAAGGCTCTTAGCAAGAGCAACCTGCAGTACCACCGGAAAAAGCTGATGAATTTGCCGGAGCTTCTGTAGGATTTTCTAGCGCTTGGGGAAGGTCATGTATACCATGCGGGGAAAGATGCATTACTGTCGCGGGCTGTGTCCCAATGGCAGGAGTAGGAGGCTTGCCTCGCATTCTTGTCTTCGCCTTGGCCTTCCTGATAAGTGCGGCCGTTGTGATCCGCCGTGATAGCAATGGTTTGTGTTGGATGGGATTTATTTTCGAGGGGTTTTGCCCGGGCGCCGGGTTTCCCCTCGACCACCGTATTGGCATTTTATTGATGTATCCGGGGTGTTTTTGCCCCACTGATGGTTAGTCACTTGCGTGAAGAACCAGGGAGGGTGTTCGTGGGTCTACGGACATGGTTTGGATATGTTAGCCGTACGTACAAGTGTGACGCAGATGGTGTAGAACCTTTTAGGTAGGGGTACGGTGATGATGCACCGGGGCCCCCTTTTGTTGTGTGCAGCAGCCCTGCTGCCACTCCTCCTCTCTGAGCACGACAGCGCCCTGGGTACGGGCGTTGCCTCACCGTCTGAAGTTAATACACTACACAACCAATACCCGATAAGTACGCGGAGTACGGCCGACAAACACCGACTTGATTTTTCAGTATCGGAGATGCCTTCTTGTCTTCCCCTCTTCCTTGGTCTTTGGTCAATATTTTACTGATATCCCCTGGGATGTGTCTAATGCTCCTCTCATCTACTTTCTCGTCCATTCTAGTGTTACCCCTTCCGTTCCGAGACTTCTTTCTGCGGCTTGCTGTCAAAACTCCAAAAGCTACACTCGTTTTTTCGTCTTTCTGCATCCCCAGCACACGTGGCGTTGTCCCTGGACGCCCTGTGTACTGGCTTGATCTCGTTCCCAACCCGACGCCTTTTGTAGTTCACCAGTCCGCGGTTGTTCCTGTGTTGCTCGCTCTTTTGCCTTGTGAAGTAATTAATTTCCGAGAAGTTGAATCTCAACGTCAGCTTTGCAGCAGCCAGCGGCATAATGTTCATTGCAATGAGTGGTTGTTTGGAAAAATGAAAGTGTTCGAGCCGAGTGAGTCATCAACGCGACCTGGTAGTGCCAATACGTATATGTAATGATACGACGAAGAAAGCGAATACTGTGCGTCAATGTGCAAGCGCGCTGCATTCGCCAGAAGTGTGCGACCACATGAATGTGCAACCATGCGCGATATTTCTCTCCTCTTAATCGGTTCGCCGCCTTCCTGTCTTGATCGATCTTCTCGAACGACTTCATCTTGCCAATGTTGTTAGGTGTGGGCATGAGGGCTGCTCTAAAGTGGCGTTGTTTGGCGTCCAGGGCACCAGGAAGGTCGACTTTTGCAGACAGCATGCTAGGAATGAAATGGTCCAACTGAGAAACAATCAGCACTTCTGCAGTCACCAAGGGTGCACCAGAGGGGACCAAGAAGGCTGAATTCTGCAGCCAACACGCTCAGCAGGGAATGGTGAACTGAAAGACTGGGCGACGCCTTGGTGGTACACGAAAGCGATCCACTCCTGCTTCTTCCGATAGGACCGGAGTTGTATGTTCACCCTGGGGTATGGGCGCCAGGAAGCGGCCCCGCCTGGCGACCTTCTTGTCTGCCCCGGCCCCGCCACCAATCAAAACGGAGCCGGGTACGTAATGGATGGACTCTATCCACAGTGCGAAGAAACTCTCAGCCAGAACCTATCTTGAGCGCGTAATAAACATGGAAGTGGTGTGGTTTCTCGGCTCCAACGAAGAGGCAAATAAGCTGAAGGTGTGAGTGCAGTCGGTTCGTACACGATTATTCTGGAGCGTGCGAGAGGTCTCCCGCAATTTCCTCTGTCTGTTTGTTCAGTGCAAAGGTTTTTGGATCCTCACGTGTAGTTTGGGTGAACCCTTTTTGCCTGAGATTTGCACGGAAGCACCGTGTGCTCAACACCTGAGACGTCGATGGAACGAGAAGTTGAATGGCAGGGGCGAAGTGAAAGGTAGAGCTCACGGAACGCTTCTTCTACCACTGTGAGTAAGCGGGACCGAGTGGCCAAGGCATGTCTGACTGGCTAGCAGAACATGACCAAAGCAGTTGAGGATTCGGTGTTCGATTGGCTTCTACCAATCTTGGCTGTGGTGTTTGTCTTCGCTTGTTTCGCGCGTGCTCCTGTTCCGGCTACGGCAATCTGCGTCTGTATGGGACACTTGATGGTCTGGGGACGCAATATGATGGATCATCGCCGTTTCCACACACCGACTTACGGTTCCCAAGGGTTAACAAGGCAACAGCCTGCCCGACGCTCGAGCGGAGCTGGTCATGCTACATCTAAGCACACAGTTTATTTGACTACAGCTACAGAATATGCGCTAGTGAATCAATTGGGGAAGCAGCCGTGAGCACACGGCAATCTGAACTTCTATTTGATTACTGATTACAGGTACAGAATGTGCGCTAAATAGCACACTCTACTCTTTCTGAACATGCTAATTCCAACTCTCGGCACCTGATAGCCAGCACTCACCTACATCGAGAGCAAGATGGAGGTAGTGCACTGCGTGTGCGGGGATTTCCCAATAGCAAATTGGGTTCTTGTTGGGTTGAAAAATCGGCTATTCGACGCTGTCTGTGGCAGCCGTCCTGTCCTTAAACGCTGTAATATATACGACGTGAGGGCTATCAAGGATAGTTACAAGAGATACGGCGCACACAGATCCACACGGCAGTACACGCATCAGAAGAATCCCGCAAGACAGAAGCGAATCAGCCACTCCATCATTCAGGGCCACCTTTTGTGCAATCATACCAGCAACGCAAATCCCATTTGCGTGCCTACGAGCGCGGATTTCAGTGCAGCTCTTGCGCCATAAACCCTACTCGTCGCCGTGATCGATTCGACGGCCTTTTGTCCACGTGCACGTTGGTCTCTAGCGCTTGAAAGCGTTTCAAAATCGAAAATCGGACCACGAACAGCAGTAGAATCCGGGCCTCTGCTTTCACCGAAGTCGATGCATACAGGCTTGCTTCGAAAGCCAGTAGCGGGCCGCAAATTGTAGCGTGCCGTGCGTCGCAACTTTGATCCTAACAAGTGAAATTCTCCTTTGTAGTTCGAATGACGTCTGCGTTGTCAGCCGCACGAAAACACGTGTCCAAACAAACGAGATCTCCGCCACAACAAAAATAGCTGCAAGGTTCACCATGCGCCGCTAAACTAGACCCGTCGATTCCTGCTATACTGGCCGTTACCTAGCAAACGGTACCCCACTTCCGTCAGCGACCTTGCTAAAGCGGTGCTGTTGCTTTTATGAAAACAAGTCAGCTTTTTTAACTCCCCCACACCGGCTCAAGTAAGACCACGTTCCCCCCCGGAAGAGCCGCAGCGATCCCGGCCGCTTCCGGCGAACCTTTCGACCAATCAGCGATGCCGACTGCCAAGGCGGATGCCTGAAATGACGGGGAGCGACACACAAAGGAGTACGGGGAGGCGGCAACAACTGTGCTGAATACGCAAGAAGTTGAGACATGATAACTTGTCAGGAAAACGTATTGGCGACTGTGTGAAGGGTTCAAAGGAGCAAGGTTGGGCGTGGGAGGCCCTCGGGAAGAAACCTTCTGTGTGACCCCACCTGTGCCAGAGCCCTGAAAGACAACGGCCGACTCCACTGGAGGCTATATGGGATATTAAGTAGATGGATATCAACAAGAGGTGACACACATTTGTCGGTCTAGGGAGCGCCATGTTTCATTTCAATGTGACACAAAATGGGATGGGAAGACGCGATGGAAGAAATTTCTGAAATTGTTGTGACCCCCAGTTTGCGGTCGATTTTCTCATGGTGGCGTCCTTCTACTGTAGCACTCGGAACTTTGGCTCTCCTGCCGGCGTCCTTCGTTCAGCGCCGTTTTCCCTGCCATGCTACAACAAAAAAACACATAAAAACGGCCGTCGACCTCAAACATCAACGACGGCAGTACTTACAACCGCACAAACATATCCAAAAAAGGGGCGTATGCACATGAGTTACCTCGTCCCCTAGCAGCCCCCGGCTAACCGTGCCCCCGCTGCCGGCGTCGTACATGGAGATATTTTCAGACCTCTCGCCGCAAGTGATGATGTTGACGCTGTTGCCTCCCCCGGACGGTAAGAACTCCGGTCGGTGAATGGCCTTGGGCCTGGATTGGTAAATATTGATACATGTTGCAGCCGAGCAAGGCAAGTCGGTGAGTTTACATAGCAGGCGCGGTTCTTGAGGAGGGATAGAAGGGATAGCACAGGAGCAGGGGGTACCAGAAGCAGAGTTGGCAGCAGCTGAGGTTTAGGGGGGAGAGAGATGAACACCGCACAAACGAGATACGGAGAGGTAGAGACAGAAACACACAAGACGGTAAAAAAATGGCCGAACAGGGTGGACAGAAGCAATAGTGGAACAGGTGATGAAGCAAGGGGGAGGGTGCGATGTGCGTCCATGACAAACGTCCGAGCAGGGGTACCATCAAGCGTTGGGAAGGGTCACGTGGTCATACTGTGTTTCGATCTTGGCAAGCTTTTCCGACCTCTTGCCTCCCCACACACACTCGCAAATTTGGCAGGCATTGACCAAGCTTCATACAATAATCACCTAAACCTCCCTCGGTGGAGTAGGGGGATATTTAGGCGATTTTTTCATGAAGCTTGGCCAATGCATGCCAAATTTGCGAGTAGGCACCGGTGGAGTGGAGAAGCCTTAAAACACCCCTCTAGCTGTATCTTGTCCTACAAGACTCCAATCGACGCGGGACATGCACGCAGTTCTGCGTTGCAGGGCTATCACGGGACCCACCGTGGAGCCGAAACAGTACAGTTTTGGTGCTGGCATACGTGGCAGGGGATTGAACCCAGCTATTTGTACCGTACTTCACTGGTGGGGTACATACATAGCCTAGCTTACCCCACCACATGGCTTTCCACCTGCAAGACTCCTAGCGACACACAACCACCGGTATGCGGTATGAGTGTGTGGTTGATGCACACACAGCGCACGGCAGCGGACGGCAGCTGAGAGGGCGAACAGGCCAAGAAACCTTGCCGCGCAGCGCCGAACACCTCAAATGGTTCTGGAGCTGTAAGCTTCAGTCTCTCCGACCTTAACTCATTTTGTCGCCCTCTTATTTCGATTCCCCCACCCGTGCCCGACCGCGTCTCAAAAGCCGATCTCGACCTATGGCGCACGGCTCGCGATATCTCGAGTATGCCTCGGTAGGGCATCCCAAATCATGGCCAGTCGCCAAGTTTTGATAGACTTCCGCGTGGAGTGGCGTACATCACAAGTGTGCGGCCATGCGCGACCATGCGCGCTGTTTCTCTCTCGTCTTTACTGGTCCGTATCTTCCTGTCTTCATCGGCCTTTTTGGAAGGTTCGAATCTCAGGGTTATAGCTTGGCAGAAATCAACAGACCGATGTCGACCAACGGCGCACGTTTCGCGATATCTTGAGTATGCCTCGATAGGGTATATCGCGAGCCACGCCCCCTCGCCGAAGTTCACCCCCGTCCGCGAGCAGCAGCAGACCCAACAAGTGTGCGACAATTAATTTCCTCCTCGTCTTCACCACTTCGCCGTCTTGCTGTGCCGCTCTTCTTTTGATCGTCTGGAACCATTTCGGAAAAAAAACGAATCTCTCGCCCGTAACTTCTGAAAAAATGAATCTCTTCTCTCCTCCTATTATTGCAGAATAAGTGTCGGAATATTTACAATGAATACCATTATATGAATACCAAGTCAGTCGGTGGGGCTTTCCGGCCCCCTCGTTCAATAAATTTCCGAGAAAATAATGTCACTTCTCCTATTATTGCAGAATGATTTTCGAGAAAGGAATCTCACTTCTTCTATAATTGTGCATTTCGGAAAAAAGGAATCTCGGGTTGACGGGGCTTGCCGCCCCCCTCGCTCAATGAATTTCGGAGAAAATATTGTCACTGCTCCTAAGAAATAAATCCAGCCCAATGAATCTCACTTCTCCAAATATTCTGAAGCTATCTGAAGCAATTAAGCTTCAGTCCCTTGGACAAAAATTCATTTCGGTCGCCCTTCCCATTCCCCCAACTCTGCCGGTCGCCCCGGTGGTCTAGTTGGTATCCTCGAAACCTTCTAGAGGTCAGGTCAGGGGTTCGAATCCCGGCGTAGGCGAGTTTTTCATGCAAAGTGAGTTTTTCTCTCGCTTCCGCTCCTCCTAGCCTAGTGGATAGCGCTAGTTCGTGTGTACACAGAGGGACGAGAGTGCTGAACTCTCCTCGCATTAAAAATCGAAGGCAAAGTACCGCAGGAGGGGAGGGTAGAGAGGGGCTCTTCTGTGTGACCACGGGTTGGAGTAAACGGCACTAGTGCTGTGAGCGCTGATTTGAAGTGAAGCCAAAAAAAAAAAACTTGCCCGACCGTGCTCCAAAGATCGATCTCGCGGCATATTGCGCCCCAAGTGTGCGAGGACGCGCCCTGTTTTGGTCCTCTTGACCAGTCTGCCTTCTATCTTCCTCTCTCAATCGCTCTTTTTGGCTCCTCGAACAACAACGTCAAAAATCGAGTATCAAAGTCCGCTTGGCAGCAACCAACGGCCAAATATTCATTTCAGGTGGTGGCTTAGTAAATGAAAGTGTGTGGTCCGAGTGAGTTTCCAACGCGACATGGTGCCAATATCCATAGTACGACGAAACGACACAAGAGTGAGTCGACGAGCAAGCAAGTTGCACTTTGCGCCAGAAGTGTGCGACCATGCGCACTGTTTCGGTCCTCTCGACCGGTTCGCCTTCAATCTTTCCGTCTTGATCGCTCTTTTTTGCTTCTCGAACAACGTGGAAAAATTTGAATCTCAGGGTACGCGTTCCAGCAACCAACGGCATCATGTTCATTTCAGAGGTGGTTTAGAAGTGAAAATGCGTGTGGGCCTGAGTTGATGCCAATGCGATCTAGAGTCAATAAGCCATGATACGACGAAAGCGCATACGGTACGCCGATCGATGCGCCACCATGCTACATGCGCCAAAAGTGTGCGACCATGTGCGACCGTGCGTGCTGTTTTTCTCCTCTTTGGGTCGCTGTCTTCTTGTCTCTGTCGCTCTTTTTGTTTTCTTCTCGAATATGTTTTTGACAAAGTCGAATCTCATCTAGGGATTCAGATGATTCAGATGAAATATTCGTTGTGACAGCCTATATGTGTCGAAAAAATTATGTGCATAATCAGAAACCAAAACGGCATCATCATCAGTACAGAAGGTGTTCTTCTTTGTTCGATATGTCTTGTTCCCTTCGCATAACAAGTAAGTGTATTCTTTTGCGATATACTTCCGATGGGTACTTGGTCTAGGTGGCGGTTAGAAGGCAGTGTGACTGACTGACTAAGCAGCGACCGGGACGATGTGACCACAATAACAACGAACTTTGACAGGCGAAATTCTCCAGCACAACACCCCTTCTCTTCCTTCCACAGATGAAAGTTCACGGCAGATTTACCAATGGGTTTAATCCTGTGGAGCGGTGACCAAAGTACATATTTACATACTTCTTTTATTGCGGTTGTTTCCAGGGCAGCTCTTGTTCCTTTGTTGTTTCTATCTTCCGCCGTCGGGTCGTGATCTGCCAACGCAGTAAACTCAGCCAGCAGCAAATTAAACCCGCAAAGAAACAAATTAGCTTCAGACAGGCCACGCCGATGATACTCGTCGCGTTGATTTATCACAATTACCGAACACTGCCTTCTCTATTCTTCCAGACATGCTTCCTTCAACAGCATGAGGGACGGATGTGTCTCGCCCTACAAGATTCCAAGCGACATGTAAGACATGAATGTGTTGCTGCGTTGTAGGGCTATCGTGGGGCCCATCATATAGATGTGAGGGTTAAGGTTAGGTGCTGCCACGGCCGGTGGGGTAAACAACACAAAATCCTACAGGTGCGGCAGACAGCGTTATTTACCCCAACAGCTGGTTCTCGCCCTACGAGACTCCAATCGCAACACAAGCACCGTGGTGAGTGTGTGGTCGATACACATACAGCACACAGCAGTGGGCAGAGCTGAGGCGGGAGAACAGGGGGGACAGATCATACCATCCTTCCGCACAGCCTCAAACACGTGAAGTGGATACTCGAAATAGACCCAGCGCCATAAGGGACAAGGGCATACGATTCAACAAAAGTTTCAGAATGGCTCTATTCAGTTTCATGTGGTATCCGTTGCAGAACTTGCACCTATGTAGATCATTGCCTGCGACACCAGTGGACGACAGTGCGAAATAAGCTGTGGTTGTACGTGATGAAAGGTGATCGGATGTCTTCATCGGGTAAACGAAGATCGGGCGCGGGTAGAAGTATATCGCACGTACAGTGGAGCGGCAACAAAGCGCCCAATTCGTGTTGCTACGATTGCGCACGTCGCCGGCATTGCAATATCTGCAAAAGAGAATGAATTCAGTGAATGAATTACTTGATACACATTGCGACAACACGGCGAAAGAAGAAACCTTCTTCCTGTGTGTACCGCCAATGCACCGACACACACATACACACCGGCGCCGGTACACATGTTTACAGTATGTTTCCACGTGTTGCGGCGTTCCGCTGCTACGTACACCTTGACTTCGACACTCGCAGGCATCTGTGCCTCTGAAACGTGCTAAGAACTAATGAATATACATTTCCACCAGGCGATCGATATATTCAGCACTACTTGCGTTATGTGTGAACGAAATCCAACTTTAATATGCTCCCAATACCAACCGATACAAGATTGTGATGACGGGCATTTCCTACAGGTGGTGCAAACCCCGCTTTTTGGGATACCCCCTCCGCACATATGGGTTTCGATTTCGACACAAGGAACGACTCTCGAGTGAGACTCAAATGGTTTCATTATTGCGCCTGGTCCATTGACATATTTCCCGCGGCTAGTATCGAGCAGATATATGCGATTGCCAACCCGAAAACGAGACGAAAAGAATCGAATCAGGCGTCCGAACAACGCATGATTCACAAAATACATGTCTGTCTGTCGCACGAAGAACAACACAGAGTCACACCATGTGTTTGAATTTGAAGGCCGGTGATCGAAATTCTACAGTAACTGTGACGCTAGCATCGTTCACGTCTAGGATACATCTGATAGCTGGTCGCCATCAATGCGACCCTCCGCTTGGGGGTCGGTCTTCACTTTTAGCGCCAGAAAAGATGCGACGAACACAAACACACACACACACACCACCGGCCGCGGCACCTAAACTGAACCCTCACATCTATATGATGGGTCCCACGATAGCCCTACAACGCAGCAACACACTCGTTCATGTATTTCATGTCACTTGGGATCTTGTAGGGTTAGATACATCCGTCCCTCATGCTGAAGGAATCATGTCTGGAAGAATAGACAAGGCAGTGTTCGGTAACAGTTTGACGTGTTTGGCGCTGCGCGGCGGGGTTTCTTGACCTGTTCACCCTCTCAGCTGCAGCCCGCTGCTGGGCGCTGTGTGTGCATCAACCACACGCTCCTACCGGTGGTTGTGTGTCGCTCGGAGTCTTGCAGGTGGAAATCCACTGGTGGGGTAAGCTAGGCTATGTATGTACCCCACCAGGGAAATACTGTAGCTGCGTCAAACCCCCCGCCAGGTGTGCTAGCTGCTAGCACCAAAACTGTACGGTTTCGGCTTCACGATCGGTCCGTGATAGCCCTGCAACGCAGCAGTGCGTGCATATCCCGCGTCGATCGGAGTCTTGTAGGACAAGATACAGCTGGTGGGATGTTTAACTGTGGACAAGAAGTACCGGGGACATTTAGACTCGCCAAAAAAAGAGGATAAAGATTTACATCCCAGACCAGGCCATAGAATGACATTGCAGATATTAGCCTACCCAGCCCCAGCCCTGGGGTATCTTCACACGCGCTGGGGGCGCGGTTCTTCACGGTACTCTCAGACACCACGGCAAACAAACCCTTGTCAGATGTACTATAATACTGCAAAGTCGCTGTTTGGTCTCCAGGAAAAACGGAACAATTCCCCACCGATGTAAAGGCAGGCATCCTTCCCGACATCCATCGGAATATCGGAATCACCTCAACGTCGTCCCGGTCAGCAAATTGAAACTAACTCGAATTGCCTACGGGGACCTTCACATAATACGCCATCGCCGTTCCCCAGAAACGCGGAAACGACCGAAACGTAACACAAAATTAGCGCAGGTTCCCAGCTCACCTGGCAAGGGCGTAGGGGCAATGCCCTCGGAACACGTGCAGGGGGGCTGCCAAGCGCCGCAGGTCGTAGAGGTTGACCGTCGAGTCCAGCCCTGCCGAAAGGAGCCGGTTGTCATCGAGAGGGTGCCACCGAACAGTGTGGCAGGCCCGGCCGCCGTGAACGCCGTCCAGCCGTTGGGAGACCCCGACGGATGAAGAGGAGCGCAGGTCGGACACACGAACGTTCGAGTCGTCTCCGCACGAGGCGACCTTAGGTTTCCAGCCATGTACGTAAGTGATTGGGCAGACGAGACGCCATGGTAAGCGTGGGGAGGGCAGCCCAAAAGAGCGTCCGGTGGTGGGGGTTCGCATGCTTGCAACCAGTAGTCCATCAGGATGAAAAGGCAGAGCAGCACGCCGTGTACGCCCTCATTCCTCGTGTTTATTGCACCTTCGGGGATATCCCGCGAAATGCTGAGGTGAATCCCCCGCCTCCTTCTCTATTGTAGTTGTCAAACTTATTCTCCCCCCCCTTGTTACCGTTTTTTTTTTTTTGTACCTCGTTTTTTTTTTTTTGGCGGTAACCATAATGGTGGTCGAGTAGATCATGTTGTGCGGGGTGGAGGACCCTCACTCCGCGCAACGGGGGATGATCGCTCCACGTTGTGTTAAAATGGTCAAGCACCCTCGAGGCAGTTACACAGTGCTTACAACTGTCTCTGGAAGTGAAAGCACCAGAAAATAAATAAAGTCATACGTAGCTGTCATCCGTACGCAAGGAAGTAAGCACAAGATGCCGAACACCCTTAGCAGGATGCAGCTCACCCTTCATGCGACTCGCCAAATACCTCACGGTGCTTCGCGCTTGGTGATGTGAGAGCCTGGTCCGGTGAGAACCCGGCGTGCTCCGTCCCGGCTTTGTAGGGATGCGAGGTCAATGGTCTAATGACTACGGCATGCACGACTTGAGTACACCCCCCCCCCCCCTTGTTTGTTTTCGTCTCTCACACCCGGGTAGGCTAACCCCTGGGGGGATCTTTTCGGTGCAACGCTGGGGTGGACCCCGCCCCCCCCCCCCGCCCTGGGGCATAGGTAGTGCGTTGAAAAGGTGGGGAAGTGATATCGATAGGATAGATGGGCTAGGGAAGACATTTTTGAGTCCCCTTCGGCGAAGTAGGAAGGAAAGATTGGGCCATCGGTGATCGGTCCTTTGGGAACAATGCTCCGTCCTCTCGAGGACGGAGGTCAACAATGCTCCGTCCTCTCGAGGACGCGAGGTCAACGGAATAACCGTTAAGGCATGCAAAACATAAGAGTACGCCCCCCCGCCCCTGTCCCAAACGCTGCCAAAGCCGCCCTCCTTTCCGTGCCGTATTATTATATTTCACCAGCAACCGTGCCCCCCCTCGCAACCTCCTCGTTATAACGCTAACATTACCATGCCCCTTCCCCCCCCCCGCCCCCCCTCGAATTTGTACAGTCGATGATATTTTCCTACCGTGTTCTCGTCCCGTAAGCTGACCCCCTTGACGACCTTCTCGTGAAACGCCTCGCTTCCGCCAGGGTCGCCAAGCACCCTGTTCCAAGAAGCACCGCGTTGACCACGCAGCGCAAAAAAAGGTTACTGGCGGAAAGAATGTACGAGTTCCCACGTTGCAAACGGTAGGAGAATCGACAGCTGTCATGTTCCATGACTCAGATTTGGGTCGTGCAATGCAGCGAACTTCCGGTCATTCCAGCATGGTGCCGCAAACGAAAACGGCGATTCCTGTAGAATGTCGTGCGCTGCGGCAGGTACGTTGGGCGTTGCAACGAAAGGGAAAAAAACTCGGTCGCTTCCGATTCCCGCTCATCGCACTTTTGGATAGAAGAACCGAAGAATGGTACACTCGCGTTTCGAAACGCGCATCAGCACTGCATATGTCAGTGCGGTGCCTCATCGTCACCTGCTTGGGCTTGAGATTGGATGGTTAAGATAGTTCCCGTACGCACCCCAAAACGTGATCACACATGCATGCACACACAAACCTGTCGCGCTCGATCCCCGTAGGGCGGAGAGATGCGATGGCTACCGTCGTGTCTTTCGACCCCGTGGCCACGCGCGTGCCATGGGAGTCCATGGCAAAGATGCCTTTGCGGGTGGGGTGGAGGTCGTCCATGGTACTCAAGAGCCTGAGAAGTTCGCAGCAAGCAGCCGCAGCAGCAGTGGAATACGGATGGGGTGCGGGAGTTTGCACGTTGGACCACGCAAGAACCTGTTGAAATCTCTGTGTTTGTTTTCTCCTCTGTTGATACTTGCCAAGGCATCTTTGAGCATGCACGCACGTCTATCGACAAAATGCTATATACTTCGGATGGGATGGAGACTGCCGATGGTGCCCAAGATCCTACAACAAAGTGCCGATGGTGCCCACGATCCTACAACATAGTGCCGATGGTGCCCACAATCCTACAACATAGTGCCGATGGTGCCCACAATCCTACAACATAGCGTCAGGTTTTCGAAGAAGCAAACGGTCAAAAGAGGCTAAACGTTCTCGACGCATGCGTTGTGGTTCTGCGCGAGGATGGTGAGGTTCATGTTCGCGCTCCGTTCAGCTTCAAAAGATCTGAGGGCCCTGCATGTGAATGCTGGGGGGAAACGATTGTCGTCGTTGCGCACGTGCCGAACACAGCAACAGCTGCGGTAGATCAACCACCACAATATAAACGGCCATCATTCGTTGATGAAAGGCACGGGGGGGGTAACAACGTTGGTTTCATGCGCAAACGATAGTCGACGACCTCTGGAGACCTTTAACAGCCGTAAATATGGCGGTACTGTATATTTTTTTCAACCATCCCTGTGTAGGAACAAAATTGGATGAAAAGTGGTTGCAGACGAGGGAAACATACTCTTTAACCCTTCTCGTTACAAAATGAAGGGAGGTGTGCATTGGAGAGAACGCTTTTGGGTGACCCCCGGATCGTAGCTCATCGGTTCAGCCCACAACAACGCTAGAGTGCTGTTGCTAGAAGCTGTGAGGGACGGACACAATAGATGTGACGATCTGAAAAGACAGCGGAGATACCTTTGCATGGGGATTGAAGACGTCGACGATGCACACGTATGTCCCGCGGTACCGCACGCACTACATCAGGCAGAACGGCCACAAAATGGGGTTGAACGATGCAGAGATGAGGCAGCCCCAAATCTACTACGACACCAAAAAGAAGTCTCCCCCCGCTTCTTTTTACCTGGGCGTACCGCGGTGTTGCTTCGAGGTGTCCCACAGCTTTACCACAGAGTCATTCGCCGACGTCAGCAAACGGCAACCCCCCACCCCCGCCCCCGCCCCTCCGCCTTCCAGGAAACGCACCGCGGAAACCCAGCCCTTGTGTGCCTTGAAGTTCATGAGGGTTCGCTCGTCTTCCTCTTCTTCCTCTTGGCCGTTGCTGTTGTTTTCGTAACGGCCCGTCTTTCGCAAGTATTGTCATCAATTTTGGGAATTGTCGGAATGGGGGAGGGGGGAGCGGTAAGTAAGGGGTGGGAGACTAAATGCTCGGAACAAAGGTTCGAACGGAGGATGTACACGTGCACCGTCGTCGTCGCCTCCGCGTTATGAGACTACCCGTCGGGGAAGAGAGAGAGAGAGAGAGAGAGAGAGAGAGAGAGAGAGAGAGAGAGAGAGAGAGAAAACTTTTGAGTTGCTCATAGAGGGGCGAAGCTTGGCGAGCTCGCAGAGTAGTCGGTAGTACAACTGCCGCTCAATGTGGCTGCAACAATAGAACGAAAACAGGGTTTGTTTCGCCGTGGAACAATTTTGCAGGTATCGAGTGGTTACACTGAACAACAGGCCTTGTACCGGGAGTCACAGCAGCCGAAACGCATGAGCAACGCCAACGAGGAACACGACCGCGACGTCGCTGACAACAAATAAAAAAAAAACGGGATGGCTGAACAAGTTGGTGAATCTTGGTAAACTTGTCGTAAAGTTCAGTCGGATTCCGTATATAGCAAAATGCTATCGCTGCGAGAGAGCGGAGCACCACCAAACCTCCTCCCACACGCGCGCACCTGTTGTTGCCGCCGCGTGGAAAACAGCGCAACGACACCTCCTTTGCCCCCTGCCGCCAGCAACGGCGGCAAAGCTGCCGCTCCCCTTCCGCCGCCACCGCCGCCCGCGGCCCTTGCGCCGCAAAAATGCATTGTGTAGATCGTGGAGAGCCCAGATGCGGACAGTGGGTCATCGGGATCGATGACTCGCAGGCCCACGACCGTCGCCCCTGCTGACGCTGCCCCAGTCCCTGTCAGTGTAGCTGCAGTTTGGGAGTTGGCGGCGGCGGCGGCGGCTGTGTTTGGCGCTTCTGCCGAACTATCGTTGCCACCCCCATCCTTCACGTTAGCCTCGGTCCCACAAAGGTACTTGAGGACGGTGGAATCATCGAAGTCGATCTCCTCGAGGATAGGTTCGGGCTCGGCTGGCGCTGCCGCTGCTGCTCGCGCCGCCCTCGCAACGGCGTTGATTGCCTGCTTGTCCTGAAGGTCATATAGCGGCGGGCGGGGGGGGGGTTAGTGTTGTAGGGTTTCGGGGAACTAGCGGGTAGAGAGCGAGCGACACAAGACCAAGAAAAACAGCAGCTTCGAATAGGTGCTGAATACCGTCGCATGCTTTCAGACCCAAGCCCGTTCGGACGCGGCCAAACACTTCTCTCCAGGGTGTGGGAAATGAGCAACGGTCTAACAATCTAGCGAAACGTCTTCCGTGGTCGCAGAACATCTACGTGTCCCTGGAGCATTTCGACCTTCGCTGGCAATGCTGAGTGGATGGGCACAGCAGGGCAGCGGGCGGGCGTACGGCACCGGTGTGGAACTGGGACAAAAACGAGTTTGTGGTTGGAAAGGTAGGCCTGGTCGTTGCGGAATGAGCACTGGAAGAGAAAAGTATCCCCAAGAACAGCAGCAGCAACATCAACAACAACACCAACAGCCAACACCAACAAACTATCACACCGACGCCACGTAATCCCCACCTCTCACCTCGTTGTAGTCCACAGCCTCGGCTCCCCTGCCCCTGGCAGACCGGCGAACCGGCACCACCGTAGCAGCTTTCTCGCGGGAACGACTCACAGGCCTGCTCCTCTTCTTGTTCTTGTTGCGTCCCTTCGTGCCTTCGCTCGAAGTCGCGGCGGGGGCAGCTAGGGGTTTGGCGGTCGCGAGCCCGAGCGTGGCCATGAAGGCTTGGTTTCTCTTGATCCGTTCCAAGCGCTCCAGCTCATACTGCGAGATGCCTCCCGCCCGCGCCGCGCCTGCTTCTTCTTTCGTATTCCCTGGTGATTTCCTGTTGATCTTCTTGGGTTCGCCTCGCTCCTCCTCGCTTAGTTCATCCTTCTCTCCTTCCCCTTCGCTGCCACCCTCATCCTCGCCACCTCTCAGTGACGGGGCCCCCGCGTCGGAGAATGGCAAGCCCTCGTCAACGCGCGCGCCCTCCCCGTCAGTGTCTTCGTTTGCGTCTCTTCCCTCTCCTTCGTTTCCTCCCCCTTCTTGACCATTCTTGTTTGGTTCCACTCCCTCTCGCTGCAGTCCATTCATTCAGCGTTAGGAGGAGCATGACAACCCGTTCGTACGCACACAGCAAGGAAAAGGATAAGCATTGGTGACATGAACGAGGTGGTGATGTTGGTACTGGTGTTGATATATATATTGTTGATGCTGATGTTCCTGTTGGTGCCGACGCTGACGCTAGTGATATTTCTACAGTTGGGTGGTTGCTTTTTCTGTTCTCGTTGCCCTTGAAGCAGTTGTCGCTCACGTTGGTTCGTCTCCAAAATTGAACTGTGGTCAGAAACAAGGATGCGAAAAACTATTCTTCCCGCGCCAAAACCCAAAACGCACAAAAGCTACGGTGCTGCCGGCAACTCGACATGAAACAGGAGTCGAAACCTTCTACGGGAACGCGCTTGTGGATTGAATGGGCGAGACGCATCAGTCCCACGGAGAGGGAGGTGTGGCGGCGCGACGTTGTAGACGGTTATCATCATTTGCCACCACACCGTGTATACTCTGGTGCGGAGTGTCAATAAAACACAATCCGCACGGCAAATGTGCATGGAACACATCTGTTTCCCAAGACCCGACTCCCCGGCCCCATCTCAAACTTGAAAAAAATCCGGCCGAACGAAAGAACAAACAAACCCACCTTGCCATCCTTCTTTCTCAGCCTACTGGTGTGCTCTGGATTTCCGGGCGGGGTAGGTTCGGGATCCTCCGCCACCCCTTTCTCCTCCATTTCTTCGACGGTGTGGTCGTCTCTCCCGTTTCCCTCTGACGACCTCTTGCCAAAGGATCCGCCCACGCGACTGCGTTTGGTCGGCCGTCCTTCTCCCCCAGGCAGCGCCGGCGGGCTAGTCTCGCTGTCCGTCCCGGGGGACGGGACATCAGAGTCCTCGCCGCTGCCGGGCGCAAGGGCCGCCTTCCTTCTTCTGGATTTCCTCTTGGAGTTCGGCGTGTTGGTCGCGGCCGAGGCGGCGGCGGGATTGCTGCTGTCTCCGCCCCCCCCGCCGTCGCCTTTGACTGCTCTGCTTGGCCGCTGCCGTTTCTCCGGCTCGAGGGCGCGTGTGGCCGCTTCTATAGGCGCCGACGGTGCCGCTGTGTTTATAAGAAATATAAATACAATCAAACAGGGAGTACCCGTTTCCAGATGTAACCACAGCAGTAGTCGAAGGGGGCTGTTCGGAGCGCGATGGTGCGGCGTGGTCGCTCGTTTTTGCTGAATGGGCGAACCAGGGGTGGAGTGGGACTGATTCCGCTGTGTCGGAGAGGGGTTTCTACGAAGAATCTGAGCGAGCCGGACCTAGGCCGTCACGTTTCGACTGTTAATGTTTTGCAGGAGAGTAAACGTCTACGTGTCCTACTTATACTTGCTTTGGAGGGGACGATGGCAGCGGCCCAACCCCACTGCACCGAAATGCGGCGTATGGTGTACTGCTGCGTCAAGAAAACACGCGTTCCACAACATTGCCATCCCAGGTACTGCTCCTACCCCCTGTCGTGGTGCAAGTCATGCTCGAGCAGTCCCAACGTGCGTCAGGTGTGCATTCCTCGTTGCACTGGTGGGCCAAGCAATGGCTCGCAACACGATTATTGTTGATGTACCACGCGACGCAACACGCCCCACTCTCTATGTACCATGGTACATGTTTGGCAAGTGAGGGTGATGTCGACAAGCGGCAACAACGTCTTCAGGCCCGCCGACGAGCAGAGTTGCACGAATGACATCGGAGAAACAGAAGACGGTGGGGTATACGCAGCAGAAACACCCACCAGCTGTTAGGTCCACCGCCGCGGAAGCCTCCTTCTCCTTGTTAGCGACGGCGTTCCTTCGCCTTGCCGTTGGCTTCGCTGTCCCGCCGGCAGCTGCAGAACGGGCACGATCACTTGCCTTCCGAGGTTTTGCCTTTATTTTCTCCTTCCCTGCTGCAGACGAAGGCGCGGCACTGCTCCCTTTGCCGAAGAAGCTGAGAATGGAAGGCTGCAGAGTTTTGGGGAGGGACGGCAAGGGCATGGTGGGGAGGGTCAGGGCGCTTGTTTGTCCTCCCTCTCCGTTACGAGAAAAGCAACAATTCACATGATCTTGCGTCTTAATTGTACCGCATCTCAAACAATCGATATTCGGCCAAACTGAGCGGATACGAGACAGTTCAACCAAAGGTAAGACGCACCTGAGACATAGTAGTAGTCTTCCTCCTCGCGCTCTGGACAGGCACGCGCTCCAGACGTGTCGCAAAGGCCAACACAAACTTGTTGGCGAGGGCGAGGGGGCTGGCTTCAAAATTTAAATTTTCCGTATGGTACACACAACCCATCCATATTGCGTCTCCCCTATTTTCTGACTCTTTACGGTTTCATTTTCTTCCATGTTGCCTGGCGACCCTTGAACGCACCGAATGACAAAGGTTGCCTGACCTGCTCTGTGGGCGCCATCATCAACGATGGCAGCAGCGCGTCGTTCGAGGCGGGAGCTCACCGACGATGTCCAGGGGAGCGGTGGCGGCTCCGGTGCTGAGGCGGCAGCCTCGCCGGTGGAAGATACCGTTGCCGCCAACGTCCTGGAGCACTACATACGCTTTCGCTCCAAAGCCGAGGACGCAAGCTTCAAGGGGTGGCTTGAGCTGCTGGAGCTGACCATGCCCAAGCTAGAGGTGAGGATAATCACGATCCCTACTGGGCTTGTGCTTTTCTTTCCACCCTTTCGCTCGTGTTGCACTCCTGGTTGTGCTGGTTTTGTGGTATGATTTTGAAGTCTTCACGTCGGATGTTGTTTTTGCCCAAATACGTCCGTTCATCGTGTTTCCCATCCAGCCCGATTGATCCACCGCCCTCGCCTTCACACCCATGCCTCGTGCATGACCATGACAGCTCATGTGCTACCACCCACAAACACACACACCTCGATCAAGCCCTTAACCTGCTACTGGTATCTGCGCTTCCTACCTTTTCCTGGCTAGAGTACCTTGGGGGCAGTACCTTGGGGGCACTCTCATCTTGACGTACATACAATACGTTGCTTGCTCCGCGAAGCCCCGAGGTCCTTCTGCCAGGTGCACAGCGTGGAACTGCTGTATGTTGTACGCTGTGCATCACCGAATGTTGCGTTACCACGATCTACATGAACGTTGTAGTCGGAACACATTTCATCCTATGCTATGCATATTTCTTTACATATCATCAAGGCTGTCCCCAAAAAATTGCCGGGTTATTTTGGCAGTAATCGACAGTTCCGCGTTTTACGGCGACGAAAGGGGCTTTCCGCCAGGTTTGTGCTTGTACCGATAGAGCCAGTCACCGCCAGAAGGCCCTAAACCCGGCAACATGTGTTTGTGTACTACTGCTGTCTATACGTACTTGGAAGTTCATGAGTGAATGATTATCTACCAGGGTCTGGGTTTTGGCGTTCTACCACCTGGCTTGCTCTACCGCTGATCGCCAGGGAGCAGTACCGGCTACGTTGTAGTTTGTTCCTGTTTTTCCTCGTTGCAAAGTTTCAATGCAAAGTTTTTACGTATGCATACCATCTCATGATTGAGTTTTGTACCATTCTCGTTACTGCTGTCTTCGAAACCGTTACCGCTAGAACAGCCTTCATCATTTTCCACATCAACATGGTGTAGTACGCTTTCCGTCTTAGCGGCGACGTTGCCGCATCCCTGGTGCGCGTGCGGCTTCGTGGACGAGGGCGTGTGCGCTAGTGCCCTATCGCACGAAACAAGTATCGATAGCATTAGGACGAGGCAACAGGAATAGTCTATGGGTATTCTGCACACACCATAGACTTGTAAGTAAATAAAATGTACATAGCTTGAGACGATGCCACAGGAGTATGGGTGTTAAACCATCGAGTCGGACGTCGTGTTTCCTGCTCGCCATCATTGTTTTGCTCGTTGCCGCTTGTCGTGTCGCTATGATGCTGTCGTGCAGCCTAGATACCAGTGCTTTACCCGCATCATCGTAGATCCTCGTACAGTAGATTTCACTCGATGCCGCCCTGCTTTTTTTCGGGGACGCTCCTGCCCTCGTTTCGCACCCAAAGCGTCGCCGCGGGCTGCTGGAGATCGACAAGGCGACGCGGCTTTGCTACGTGATGATGCTGGTGGGCACTGGGCGTGACCCCCCCCTCGCATCTCGAGCGATCGCCGCCATGCTCGTTGACCACTGGTGCGACAAGGGCCCCTGCGCCTTCCTACAAAAGGTAAACAGAGGTTGAAAAAGACCGCAATGTGGACGCGAGGTCTTGTGGTTTGAACCACCCTTGTCGTAGATGGACACACGCCACGGGCGCGTTCTAAAGGACGCAATTCTTTCTGCCCGATCTGTATACAGGTACTGGCGATTTTGATGCCTAGAATTGGTGTGTATGTGGTACTGCCGCTAGGTTCGTCCGTTTCATACATGTACCACGAGGTCATGCATTGCCATGCTCTTGGGGGAGGGGTCGCATGTTGGCACACGGCGGTCATGTCGAAGACGTTGCATATTCGCCTTTGAATTGGTTCGTGCTCCTTTTCTGTTGTCGGGAGTGATGGTCACACGGTGGTGCCCCTTATTGAAGTCGTGGCGTCGACAGAACGTCGCGAAAAGGCCGTGCGGATTGCAATCTAAGTGGGGGATGTACATACATCTGCCTCAACCTGAGCACCGGCTGCCTTCCCCCCCTCCTCTCTCCTTTCTCTGGCCGCACCAAACTATTTGTTTCGATCTTTTGTTCGCTAGTTTAAGGCTACGAAGGAATGGTCGATCGAGTGCGTTCTGGGCGTTTCTTCAGACGTACAAGAAGAATGAAAATCCTCATCTCGTCAAACGCTTGGGCGGAGAACAGATCGTATGGCGTTCTCTTTGTCAACGGCAGTGTTTTTCCGCCAGTCGAGTTAACGATCAGTGCGTTCCCCCCCTCCCTTAGGAGGTGCAGCCAGTTGTAGGCTACGAGCCCGAAGAGTGCTCATGATGACTCTCGCTTCGTACCCCATGCCGACACGGGTGGGCGTTGTCTCCGATGTGCTCACTCCCGGCCCTGTGGAGATGCGGGGAGGGGGGTTGGAAACATTGCAACAGACCACACCCTTTTTTCGTGTCTACAGTATGCCTCAAGCACCGCTGCTTTTTGTTGAGAGAAAGCGGGAAGCGGTGCATTCCTCCCTGCCTGGCGACGATGCCCGCCCCCCACCCCATCCCAGGGACCGTCTTCGCGAGAGTACTTTTTTTACATATATGAAATAGAGAGGAAGGGTTCGTAACGCTATCCCTAACCCCTGACCCCGTACCCCCCACTAAAACCAAGCTTCATGTCCTCGCGAAGGCTGCTACACCCCAGCCAACCCCTGCTTTCGCGCTTCTTTTCTCGCGTCGCCGACCCCAACAGGACGCCATCCGCCACGCCACTGTGGTCGATGGGGAGTACTCTGAAGGCTTGGACAAAGAAAGCATCGCTCAACAGGTAAGAAGAGCGACTAGATTCTCTCGCCTCGCATGGCAGGGTCTGAGTCGTAAGGCGCGCCTCTTTTGCAGGTTCGTCTCGCGTGTGCGTATGTGGTAGCTGCTGTTTTGTGGTCTGTTGTTGATTAACCTAGAGGTGTTGGCAGCTCATTCGTTCGAAAATCAACGATTTTGATTTTTTTTTTGCGTGCGTGCGTGTGTGTACGTGCGGGCGCTCTCCTCCTGTAGTCCCTGCGTCGTAGAAGTTCATCGAGTGCCATGGCGTCCCGCACATGTCTTCCCAACAACGAACATTTATTGAAAAATGAACGAGCGCAGCGCCTCAGTTTTGACACATGTCGTGTCACCCTGCTGAATGTTATCTGGGCGGCACGTTTTCACTACAATCTCTTGCGTTTCGAAACATTGAAGGGCATCTAGGGAACGAAACACCTCATTTTTCAATCATATGTTAATGTCATATTTTATGTATGCATACGTTGTCTGGGCCACACGTTTTCTCGATATCTTACGCTTCGAAAGCTGGAGAGTGGGGTCGAGGACGCCCTGGACGGGACAGGCTTGGAAGGGTTGGGGGTCTTCGCTGATTGGAGACGAGATCGGGACGTCCTTTGCCCGGGAGGGGCGGCGTCCCTTCGGGAGGAGATCATGGGCGTGGCACAGCGATGCCGTGATGCCCCCAATGACCTGGATGCCCTGTCGATACTGGAGGAATACACGGAGGAGAGGAGGTGAGTGTGGCAGCGGGGGTAATGCATCAGCAGACGGGGAAAGGTGGACGCATACATTATCAGCAGCTTTTGTAAGGAGGCAAGAGGCAACGGGGGAGTAAGTAGTACACGTGGGGGACAGAGAATGAGTCGAGAGCGGCAGATAGACAAATGGCATTTTCACAGCCCGCTCTCGCCTTAGCGGTACGGCCTCCGCACTGCCGTTGGAAAAATGTGCCAGAATCCCATCCCAGATGGATCCCTTGCTCTCTGCACGGCGGTGGCAGTACCCCGGTGCTCGTGCTTGCGTCCCCCTACATCACTGTACGATCATCGCCACCCCTCTGCACCATCGCAGGATGGGCACCTTCGAGGACGACTTCATGGCCTGGGGTAGGGTGCAGCTGAAGAAGCTCCCGGCCACGTTGTTTGATCGCGCGGGATTCACCACATCGGCGCCCCCGTCCACACCGGACGCAAAGAAATCCAGCAGCGCCGAGGGCGGGGGCAGCGCGGCAAGCGGCAGTCGTGTTGACGGGAGCAGCGGCCGGCGGGGAAGAGGCAAAGGCACCCCGGTGCGGGACAGAAGCCGGGCGGCTAGAAGGGTTATCACTACTATCAGTGACAGCAGCAGCGAAGACGATAGCGGCAGCCGCCGCCGCCGCGGGGGCGTGGGGAACAAGCCGCCCTCTTCTGCGCCTCCCGATTCGCCTAGGGTCTCGCCCGCGACATCTCGGAGAGCGTTAGGGTCTGACGATCATGGCTCTGGCTCTAAGGCAACGGCTGGGTCTGGGGCGAGCGTTGCTGTGTCGGGTGCGATGGAGCAGCCTCTGTCTTTGGACGATGACGGCAGCGAAGACGACGCATCCTCTTCCGGCAACGGCCCGCCCCCCGCCAGCGGCGGCGAGCCAGACAGCGCAAGGGAGAGAAAAGACGGACACGGACACGGCGGTGATCCCCAGTGCTCCTCGGCCTCGGACAGCAGTGACGATGATGAGCTGGAAGACGAGTACTTCCCGTCCGATTCGTCGAAGCGCTTGAGGTCGGAGCAAAAGAAGCAGCGCCGGAAGCGCCGGAAGAAGAGGCATCTTGACTCCGGCGGGGTGGTCCCGGCAGCGGCCTCGCTGGAGAAGGAAGCGGCGAAGGTCGTGGCGGCGATGGAGGCGGCGCGACCCCGACCCCGGCGCGCGGGTAAGCGCAACCAGTGGGAGCTGGTCGAGGGGGACCAGGTCATCCTCGAGGCGAAGGAGTTCGGCCGCCCGACGACTTGGGTGCCGGGCGTGGTGACCTGCAACCGCAAGGACGGCACGTACGACGTGTTCCTGGCGGGCGGCGAGGTCGCCCGCTTGGTGAGGAGGGTCGAGCTGCACTACCGCCACGGCGGCGGCGGGGCGAGAGCGGGAGCGAGGAGTTCCACGGAGGCGCGGCCCGACGGCTGCCCTGACGCCGTCTTCGGCTCGGCGGACGTGATCGACGTTTCGCCGGGGCCGGGGGCGGAGGAGGCGGGGGGGGGCGAAGCAGGCGCCGGTACCGGCGCCGGTGCCGGCCGGCGGGGTCCCGGACGGCCGCGGCTGTCGAAGGCGTACCGGCTTGTCGGCGGTAAAGTTGGCGCCACGGGGCCCAGTGACGATGAAGGGGTGCGCGAGGAGCAGGAGGAGGAAGAGGAAGAGGGCGAGGAAGAGGAGGAGTGGGAGAAGGAGGAGGAGTGGGAGAAGGAGGAGGAGGACGACCACGACCACCACACAGGAGACACCCGCCGTACAGCTCGCGTGTCTGCACACGCTGGCAGCGGCGGCGGCAGCGGCGGCGGCGGCGGCCGCCGAAGGACTCGAACGATGACGAATAACACGGAGAGCGGAGACGATAGCGACAACGGCGAGAGTAGAGGGGACACCCGCGAGGGCGAGGAACAGAAGAAGAAGGCGGCAGCCCCGCCGGCCGCGGGCGGCGGTGCAAGCGGCGACGGCAACAGCAAGGGTAAGGGAAAAGGCCCCGCTAGGCTTACGAACGCCGACCGGCGAACGAGAGTATCCGTCGTCGACCTGGCTGGTGACAGTCCCGCCGCGTCGCCAACGAGGGCCGCTTCAGCGACGACGACAGGCCTCCGTGCGGTGAGGACGAGGTCGCCGGTGAGGTCGTCCGTGAGCCAAGCCTCACGACCAGCTTCAGGCCGCTTCTACTACTACGAGAGCGTGTCAGAAGACGACGAGGACAGCAGTAGTAGTGGCGACGAAAGGCGGCCGGTGCGGTCGGATGCTAGCGTCAAGCCACCGTCGGCGAGGCTCAACCGCAGCGGCGGCGGCGGCGGCGGCCGGCGAGAAAAGAGGAGCGAGGCGGCGCGAGCCGTTGGGTGGCAGGCGAATACGTCCTCGGGAAACGATGGAGACAATGACGGAGTCACCTCCTCTCCCGCTGCAAGCAGTGGAGGAGAGAGGCACGGAGAGCGGGGAAGAGTGTCGGGGGAGGGAGTCCGCGACAAGGCTGCTGCTGGCAAATTCCCGACGGATTCCGAAATCGCCGCGCATAAGCAAGGGGGCACGGGCTGGGGCGGCGACTGTGCCAGCGATTCGGACGGCAGCAGCAGTTCGGGTTCGGAGGCTGCCGCGCCGAGGAGTAGGAGGCCGAAGCGCAAGGGCAAGGCTAGATCATAAGCTGTGGTGTTATTGTTCGCATCTCAGGCAAGACTTGTCGGCAGGAGCCGTGGAGGGGGCGGGGGGCAGTGGTAACACTACCCGGGCGTCGTCTACATCAACAGACGTGAAAATAAAGCCATGAAGGGAGAAGGGAGATGGGGGGGGGGGGTACTCATAACCGTACTCATAGTCGTGCATGCCGTAGTCGTTAGACGGTTGACCTCGCATACCTACAAAGCCGGGACGGAGCAGGGGGTGGTATCAGGGATTCGCTGCACAATGACTTGCACGGCGTGACGGGGCTACAGCCTTCATCACCGCAGTAGATGGTTAAAAGCCGACGTCCTTCCGCAGAGATGTTCCTTTCTCCTCTTTCTTGTGTTTCTTTTGGCATTGGTTATGCCAGCTCGTCGCTCGTTGTGTCCAGAATATAATTTTTTTCTCACATTCTAGGGAGAAGAATCTCGAAGGAGGTAGTTTTACATGGACGAGATAGAGTACCGACCCGGTTTTTGGAAACGCCAATTTTCGTTTGCGGTTCGATACCCAGTTTCTTTTCCGTTGCCACCGTCGAGCATAGACCTACATGTACCATATTGGATGAAGGTAGTGTACGATCCACCGCTGAGTTAGCTGTGTTTCTTTACTTGAAGGTCCTGTTTGGCGGGGAAGAATCTAGCCGCAAACCCTAACCTTATTCTTTCAACAGTTTGTTTCTTGATAGCCGGGTGATTCTGAGGTCACGCGGTATACGACCGAGCGTGTTGCGACCTATGGGGGACAATCGATCTTGCAACATTGTTGCAATAGGCAATGCCGCATGAGGACGAGAGACTTGTTGAGGTAGGGCACGGCGTTTTCAGACCTACCAGCAGTTCGCATATATGCCCGCAGAAGCACTAAAGTATCACTCATTGGAGCTGTTATCAGCTATTGCCCGTAGAGGGCACAAGAATCCGATCTCGGACAAGAGGAGAGAGAGAGGCGGCCGAACCTTCCGTGCCATCGAGGGGCGCTTGTAAAAATGTTGGATTGAGAACTCGTTTTCGTGATGAAGTTACTTCATGACGAGTTTGGATGGATCGTACCATTGTCTTGGAAGTACCTGGTACCGAGTGCTTTTATGTGCTTTTATTTCTGTTGTTTGCCTCTTACGGCTACTTGAGATGTGATGGTGGGAGCTCGTATCATGCCATGTATTGTTGTCGTGTCGCATGGTTGTAGATTTTTGAAATAGTCGGGTTTGCCATCTGTTGCCTAAGGAGAATTCATGCGTTGTTTCGGGGTTGATGGATGCAGGGGATCGTGGCGCCATCGACAAAACCGGGTGTTCTGCATGTGTAGGCGTTTTTTGGCGGTGTAGGCATGTTCGCACATAGAGTGTTTTGTGCATTGGCGAAGGGGGATCCAGTTGCGGGCCGGCCCACTCGAAAGAAACACTTACTCTGAAGAGAAGGCTCAAACCATCACAAAGCGTCTCAACTGTGGAGCACAGGCTGTTTGCTGAGCTACCATCAGGATTATAGATTCACGCGGTGCCGTGACTGAGCACAGTTTCGTGCCCGCCAATGCCCGCCGTTGTTTTTTGTTGCAAGAACATGAGCCTCGACTCCTTGACAAATAATATTGTTCTCGGCACGGTTTTGAAGGAACAACATACAGCATCTTGCGTGCTCTTGCGTTTTACGTTATCCCTGTGAAGCCACACTAGCGTCATGTGTTCAAGTTCGTGAGGGGATACATTTTTTTTTTTTGGTCCCCTTGCGGCGATCACCACTCCTCCTTTCTACATTTTTGGAAGCGATGGATTGGCGCAGTCTCCCTCTCGCGACAGACTTGCCCACTTCTTGCATTCTCGAGAGTTTGTAATTGTTGTACCGATACCGGTGCACCTCGGTAGGACGCGCGCGTGGTCTATGTTTGAGGCTATTCATCGGCTGTAGAACCGAGGAGATGGCATGGACGGCCAGGATTCAACTGCGACCAAAACATACAAATCCTAGCGACCATTGCGTGCAAGGTTGACCAACCAGCTTCCACGAGAACTATGCACACAGAAAAATAATCTTGGGCGACAATCATCGGCGACTCATTTTCTCGCCCGTAGATCCTGGTCACCTGAGTTCCAGCATGTAACGAGTCGGTGAACACCGATGTCGATTGGATACACAGCCCGAGCGAGAGGCAAAAAGAGAATACTGCTGTAGGGCATCCACAGATAATAGTGCAAATAGGGTACACCTCCCCGGTGCTGCCTCGACAAGAAAGCGGCTCTGGGTGGTGGAATGCCCCAAGCACGGAAGACGGAATCGCTCATCATGGCGAACGTTGATGAGAGTATTCTTTTAACGTCCTTCCACGCGTCTGCCATATACCGGTAGACATGACCCAGCCACTACGATATTATTGTGGTGCGAGGACATAGATCATTAGTCGTTGAACCGCGCCAAGAGGCGTTTCTCCATGAGGTTTTAAAACTTTTTTTGTGTCGTGCTTCGACAGATTGCGAACAGAGCATACCCTCTCCCGTGGCTAGCGAAAGAAGTGATCCCACAAAATGAACAAGAGCACAAGCTCTGAGACAAAGAAAGCCACCAACTGAAAAAATAACACGAACGTCTCTGAAAACACCGAAACTCCCTAACAACTCCTTGGAAAGAAACCGTCTACCGTGCTTTCGCCATTCTCGTATGCGCCACAGTGGGACACACATGAAACTCGCAAAGAGCAGCAGTCACAACGACACCCTCTGCCATCCTAGACGGCCAATCGGCTACCAACGACTGCAGTCCATCCTTCTACCGCAACCGAGGGGAAACCACTCGGGAGGGGGGGGGGGGGGGTACGTGAAATCAGGAATTCAAAAAAGCACAAAAAACGCCGTGATAACATTCAGCTGGAGACGTCCTCCTTTCTCCGGAGCGCGTTCGAAGTTCAAGAACAGAACCGGTTTCCCGTCACATCAAGTCAGGAAACGGCGCTTATTCCTTCTCCGTGCGGATGCCCCTCAGGCGGCCGGTGCGGCGGGCGGCGATGAGACCGACCTTCTGACCGGCCGAGGCGAGGCGGTTGGCCGTCGAGGGGTGCCCGATGTGCTGGTGGTTACCACCACCGAAGGGGTGCTCCACGGGGTTCATCGCCACACCACGCACGTGGGGCCACTCGTTGCGCTTGACGCGGAACCTGGAAAAAAAAAAGCGGACACAAGGCGAAATAAAAGCAGGGTAACCATCGTAAGAACATCGACAAGTGCGAGAAAAAGGCGGCGTAATTGTATATGCAGAGATGTTTTTTATGAGGTAGGGTGGGGTATCATCTAAGAACTCAAGTCCCACAACGCGTTCGGGCTAAAGTGTGAAGGCCTCGGAACGCAAACGAATACTTTGGCTATTTAAGTCTCCAGATGCAAATCGGGGTTAATACAAACATGAAAAACATTTAATCACCACCGGATTACATTGGTAGTCCCACCGTTGGAAGAATCTTCGTTTAATCGTCGAAAATTTACTCCAATCTGCACGTGTTTCGGGAATATTGTTAAAACTTCTTCGACATACCTTTACACCTGAGATCAGCGCAGCTACAAAACAAGAGGTGTTGGGTACTCAGCGAATTTCTCGAACCGGCAGAGCGGCGTCTACTCTACAATGGACGGGACCATTCGAAGCGACAAAAAAACTGCGCTGAGAGTAATTGGAGAAGCACCAACTGCAACAGACATGTGGCAGAGGGGCGAGAATGACGATTTCGAAGCGACACAAGAAAAACAAAGTTGCATCGAGAATCCGCGAGCGCGACTGGCTACCGCCGTGTGCGAAACGACCGAACTAAACCGGTCTGCATTCCAAACGCAACAAACCCTGCAAGAACCCTCAAGCAAAAACAAAAACACCCGAGACGTTTGAAGCTACCAACAGCGTTGCGCAAAAAAAAAAGGTTCGCGCACAGACGCCACCCCCCGAACACCTTCCACAACAGCCACTTGTGTGACCCAAGCGGGCCACAACGAAGAACACCACAAGAATGACCGTTCTCCTCTTGATACATAAAAAAAAAAACGGGCCAACGTGAAAACAAGAAAATGACCTCGTGGTGGTTTCTAGAAAATATATGTATGCATCCATGTAGGCACAGAAAGACTACAACTGCATACCCGTTCGAGAACATCTTGGGTCGAAATAATTACGTCGTGTTGGTTTCGTGAAAGAAACAGAAAAAACTAGACTCACTTGTGGTAAGCGCGCCCGGCCTTGAGCATGGGCTTGTCGGTCCTCCCGCCACCGGCGACGATGCCGACCATGGCGCGGCAGTCCGAGCTGATGGTCTTCTTCGAGCCCGAGGGCAGGCGGAGCTTGGAGGTGCCCTTCTCCTCGTCGTGCGAGATGAGGACGGCGTAGTCGCCGGAGCAGCGGGCGAAGGTGCCGCGGTCGCCGACCTTGGCCTCGATGGAGGAGCAGACGGTACCCTCGGGCATGGAGCGCACGGGCATGATGTTGCCGACGGTGAGGGAGGCTGTGCCGTTTTTGTTCCGGTTCGAATCAAAGAAAGAAGCACGGGTGTGGGGTCGGGTAAGAGGGGGGCGGCGGTACACAGTTCTAAACACGCATTAAGAGTTGTGTCCCGGCGGCATAATGCCTACCGCTAACTAAAATCGAAAGATGTCGCTACACAGCTGGTTCATCGCACATACAAAGACATGTGCGGCGACTATAATAACACCGAGTTACACGAAACAAATCCACACATTACATCCACGCGTCGATCTTTTCAAATCATGTGTACGCATCTACTGACTTGCTCACGTGCTCTCTACTTATGCTGAAACAGCTCTGCAACAAAAAGCAAGCAGAACGCTGCCGTGGCTGTTTTCGGACGCCATCCATCAAAGTGCATGCGGTCCAACCGACGACACTCTCACAACACACCCCTGCTTTGCTCTGGCCCCGTGTACCTCTCTCCTTCGAAACAAAATCTCGAAAATAGAGAGGAAGCACAGAGGAGGCGAGCAAGGGGGTGAATCAAGAGGTCATCAGAGGAGGACCGCCGCTTTGCCGCCGTGCGAAGGGGGGGCTGTGTTTCCCAAACACAAAGCACACCCCCAGGCGAACCGGCTGTCATCGGGAGCCACCCATCAAAGCGCTTGCGTCGTATAGGTGATGCTGTTGCTGAGGCTGTTATCGGGAGCCACCCATCAAACCCGTTCTCTCGTGCCCACACAAAATTTTCCAAGGCGCGCGTTGTGTGCGGGTAAGAACTTGCGCGTACCCTTCTTCCCGCAGTAGATGAACTGCCCGGAGTACATGCCCTCCACAGCCACGATCAGCTCGTTGTCCCTCTTGAACTTGTAGGGGTTCTGGAACTGGACCTTGGCCAGCGGCGCGCCCCTTCCGGGCTCGTGGATGAGGTCCTTGACGACGCCCTTGATGTAGCCGTGGCGCTCCGCGTAGTCGAGCTTGCGGAGCTTCACGGGCCCCTTGCGGAGGCGCGTGTGGGAGGTGAAGATACCTCCCTTACCCTTCCTCTGCCCACGGATAACCTTACCCATGGTTGCAGCCTGTTAGGACGGGGGGGGTAGCACTCGACGCCGGTCGAGAGCACACTGCGCAACAGCAGCAGCATCCACGCGCGTTGTCGTTCGCCGAGAGGGGATACGCGATCAGCACAAGCGGCGTAATAAAGGGGCCTGTCGTACAAAATAATGCCAAGATCGAAGGGGGGGGTTACGAATTTTTTTTTGTTGGAAAATGGGGATTCCCCGAACGCGGACCAAATGCAAGATTGCTTCATGTAACCTCGGGACCAACTTGTCGGGACACATACATAGTGGAGACTGTTCGTTTTTCCTGTGCTCGTCTCCGCTGTACAAGGACCACGAAACCTTCTCCTCGGTAGCCGACGGGAAAAGCAAGGAGGAAGCTGTCAACTCTCGCTGGTCTCGGGTTTAGGTCCGTCAAACCGTTGCGCGTGCGCACACGCAGAGATAAAGGTTCCTCTCAAGGGCACCTCGAAACGACAGGAATCGCGGCAAAGCGGCAAGCAAGATGGTCGGCACGGCTACTCTCGCGCTCAGCGGCGCTGCCCTCGTGGCAACCGCTTCCTCCTTCGCGGTGCCCTCGATCCTCGCCCCGTCCCGGCCGGCAGTCGGGAGCTTCTCCGCGGGCGCCGGCAGGCTTTCGTCGGAGAGTGCAAGCAGCAGCAGGCCGGGACGGCGCGTGAGGGGAGGGAGGATGATGATGAGCAGCGTACCCAAGGAGGGCGCGGTGGGGGCGGAGGTGGGCGGCGGGGAGAGATACTACGGCCCCACGTCGAAGCCGCTGCTGGACTCGGTGCACAGCCCCGCGGACATGAAGCGCTTCACCATCGCCGAGCTCAAGCAGCTCGCTTACGAGCTCCGGTGGGAGACCTTGGAGGTGAGTGAGCGAACGAACGACTGGCTTTTATACTGCTGGACGAAACGCACAGCAGCAGCACCGACAGCAGTTTGCGTCTTGTGCATGCGGTACTGGTAACGCCACTGCGCTGCTGCCCGAGTTTATTCGATTGCGTGGGCGAGCTTTGCTGTGTGCTGTGGATGCCCCCATGGCACTCTCTTTGCGCATGCAACAGCAACATCAGGTTGATTGCAGCTTTCGGATCATGTCTCTCGCTGAAAAGGGCACACACCGGATATATCTTCGATCGTGTGTTTGTGCGACGAAAAAAATGTTTGCTGCCCAATCGGACGCACCAATGTTGGCTTGTTCAAGCAGGAGACTATTTGACCATAGACTCTCCGGCCATCCAGCCCTACAGCAGTTGAGGGCCGGAATTGCGTCACGTGCGGAAATCAAGGCAACATCAAAAAAGACTTGTTGCCTCTTGCGCTATTCTCCGCGCGCAGACCGATTACAGCCATTATGTAGACGTCTTGGTTCGGTCATATGCTGTTGGTTGACGCATCATGGGCAGCCAACCTACGTACGAGTACGCAAGCGTGTGGGCTGTAGTACTTCCAGAGCACAATCCGTGGGATCGATATCAGCGTTCGGCCCTCCCCGCCCCTGTGTGTGCTCTTCGTCAGGCAAACAAATGCCAGTGGCAACCCATATATGACGTGCACTATGTGCACTCGCAGCTACACGAAGCGACACATACGCTGTGTGGTGTTTCTGTGGTCAACGCCTAAATTCTCAACGCGTTGTAAATTTGGTCGAGAGGACAACAATGTCTACCATACCGCTCTAGAGACCAGTCGGTTGCACCCGACTCTGCCACAAACCCCACCCACCCGCCACCCGCGGCGACCGCTCGCTCTCCTGGCTCGACATACCGCGCGACCGGCCTCTGGGTCCTCCTGGTAGCTTAACGGCGGGCCTTGGAGCCTGATACAAACCCGCTCTTGTTGAGGAATCGGAGGCCGGTCGCGCGGGATGAGCGTCGGGAAAGGTCTAGGAGGGGTTGGAGGGGTTTGCGGCAAGAAAGCCGGAAGAAAGTCGACTATAATACCGTAGGTGGTACGAAAGGCCTCTCCCCCTGAACCGAAGTTCAACGCTCGACTATTCTGTCACTACAAGGGCTTTTGCTGCTGCTGTTGCCGAAGTTGTCAGTCAGTCGAGCTTTGAAACCGGTCCATGAGGGGTGCTATCTTATGCGACCGAAGGAACTCGACGCGTCACTGGCGATGTTGTACCCAATTCCGCCGCATGCACTGTTAGACATAACTACAAGTTGATTAGCAATAGGGTACCCTCAAGCTGGTTGCCCCGTGGGCGTGGAGTACAGCAGTCTTCCCCGCTTGCCATGAAGTTTCTGCGGCCAACCGATGTCCCTGGTGCTGCTACGTTTGTTATTCGGGGTGTAGATTCTCCAGGCCATGGATGTGACCATATCTTCACCGTTGTTCTTTTCCCGTGTGTTCTTTTGCTGGAAGCTTGCCGCACTCCCGATGACTTGGAAAACAGCACCTGTCTCAAGTAACAGCGGGGAGCAGCCTTGTGATCTTCTGCTGTTGTTATCAAGTCACACTCTCAAGACTAGTTGTAGTCACAGGTGATGGACACCAGCCCGGCAACGATTACGATAGCCCCCGCTCTCTGACTAACCTACACAAATGATATGGTAATGACGTGTTGCGAGTTTGCCGTCCTTTGTGTCAGTCTGCGACCCACGGCAAGGAGTGTTGTCTCTGTTTCTCAAAAGTACGTACCTGGTATCTGCATAGGAAGAAGGGTGCTCTTTGGTGCTTCGTGTATCAAGCGGACAACAGCAGCAGCGTAGCACAAGCACATGGACAACCCCCCCCCGGCCACAACCCCGTGCTACCAGCTTCCACATTCCACACAACCTTCTAGGACGGGAAAAAGACAAACAGGGTATATGGTAGAAGTAAATAGTTTGTTCGGCTCCCGAGCCCTTCAGGCAATCTGGTTTTACCTCTACGCTTGTCTATACAGCGATGTCTCTCGGCTCAAGTACAGCTTTGAATCGGGTCGTTCTTACAGTAGTGCGGCACACCCCTTTGACCCATGGCCGAATTTTGGGATGGAATCTTATTACGGCCGCGTTCTACGTAATGGCCGGGTATTCTTTTTTTTGCTCTCTAGCACTTTTCAGTTTTGCCCCAGTTTCTCCAAAACAGCAGCACGGAAATTGCTCCTGCTTGCCTTCGTGAGACCCAAGCGCTATTTCGTCGCTTTTTGTCGGCACGACACCGTCATGGTGCCTAGTTACACATCACTTGGTGTCCGCTAGGCAGTGATAGAAGTGCTCAACTCTCTTTTTTTTGTCCCGGCACATGTTGTGGTTTTGCGCTGTAGTAGGTGCGGAGCACAGGAGCAGCAGAAAAAAGAAAAAGACGGTTGTTTCTCGCTCACCCTACCCCATCTAATGTCTCACTAATCTCGCTCCATTTTTAACCACATTTTGGTATAAATGCATACGAGAATTCGACCGAATACTGCTGCAGTTTGGTTCGCTCGTGCGACTTTGCTACCACCGCCGTGCCCTGCATTCATTATGCCAGCGTTCCACGGGCAATATCTCAAATTGTTTTCTTCTGTTTCGGTTACGACGCCTTCCGTCAACATCAAAACCCAGCAGTGTTTCAAGTTTTCTTCATACTTTCCATTGTTTCGTTTTCACCTATTACACCGATTTCTGTACTGTACTGAACACGCCAACATCTAGTAAGTAAGGCGCTGCTGCGTTACGTGGCACCGCGTTTCAATCTCGGAGCCCCGCAACGTGTGACATTTCGGTTACGTCTTACGTGTGGCGGAAACCCAACAGGCGGTGTCGAAGACGGGGGGTCACCTCGGCTCTTCCCTGGGCGTCATAGAGCTGACGGTGGCTCTGCACTACGTCTTCGAGGCCCCCGAGGACAAGATCACGTGGGATGTGTCGCACCAGGTGGGTTTTCCGATCGGCTCTCGCGGCCGTGATGAGGTGGTAGCTAGTACTGCTGGAGCCGGTGTTGTCTGTCGTTATGACGCCGAACGTCGGTAGCTGCACTTTATTTTGTTACGAAGTGTTCATACAATCAGAGGAAGACTATTATAGCCGTTTGGGATATAACCACAGTCGAAGGAGATGGGTTGAAGTCATCGTAGTGTATGGGGGGGGAAACCTGCTGGATACTGCTGGACTTACTTTGAGTCTGGTTTGGCCTTTACATTGCACTGAAATTTTCAACAGGGTGCCAGCTGATTGCTAAGTACCAGGTAGTATTTTTCCACTGTTGTTTTTTCCGTCTTCCTCTTGCTTGACGTGTTCTGTTTTGCTTCCACCTTGTTCTTTGCATGAAAAAAGGTGTACCCGCACAAGATCCTCACGGGGAGGAGAGATCGGATGCACTCGCTGAGGCAAAGCGGCGGCCTGTCCGGCTTCGCGAAGCGCTCGGAGTCCGAGTTCGACTGCTTCGGTGCCGGGCACTCCTCCACCTCCATCTCGTCGGCCATGGGCATGTCGGTCGGCAAGAGCCAGCTCAGCAAGGTTTGTGTTCCCTGTGCGATTCATCGGTGGACTGCTGTGTGGTCAAATCTTCCGGGTTTACAACCGTTTTTTGTGTGTGATTTTTTTTGTATGTTGTTGTGAAGTCCTGTTGTGGGGGTTGGTCTCATCTTTTTTTCGGGGCCGTTGGTCCAAAGAAGATACAATGGCATTATCTTGTGTTATTAAAATAAATTTGTGTGTGATGTGTAGCTCAAGCTTACCACTATAGCGCCTTTCTAGGGATGGAGTCCTCACGGGTTGGTTTAATTGTCAATCCTGGCAAGTCTATACTGCATAGGCACACATCCTAAGCCGTGCCCGTTATTTTTTTTTCCGTCATGCCATTCATTAGTCGTAGCCCGCAGTGTCTATGAACTATGAACACCATGTCTTAGTGTTTATCCTATTTGATCAGAAGTGGATTTACCAACCGCCAACTACCCGAGGACGGTCGATGGCACAAAGTTTTTGGTGTGCGTGACTTGCCTAAACGCAGCTTGCCTACCGTGTACGACACAAGATAACACACCTCCTGAACGATTTTCAAAGCTCGATTACTCCACGACGAAGAGGATACATAAACGAAATTGTACGTTTTCGGAGAGCTCTCGACCAGACGGCTTCAATGCCGCCGTTTTCGGCGCTGCGACTCTTTTTCTGCTGTTGATAATTCGAGCTTTGAAGATAGGTCGAGGGAGTGTGTTATCTTGTGTCGTATTCGATGATCGCTCATGCACGGGGGGAGAAGGGCGACCGAGCGCAGAACTTGCTGCTGCCATTTGTTGGTGGCGTGGGAGAGGTCGGACGGCTCCCGTCCATGGCACAGCGGCCGTGGATATCCTCAGACTTCACGGATGCAGGTCGCTTGGCGGTAGCGTTGGCCTCCAAGCGGCCTGCAAGGTGAACGTCCGGGCATACCTGCGGGCCCTGCGCCATGGACGGGTGGCATCCGACCTCTCCGCTGCCACCGTCCCACGGTAACAGCAACTTCTGCGCTAGGTCGCCCGTCCCCTCATGCATGACCCGCGAGACAAGCAGCGTGCTGGCGAGCCATGCACAGGGTGCGCTTGCGCGGTTGACCGTCCTACGGTTGTTGGCGGTTCGTGCACCCCGCCTATGATGGCGCATATGCCACCGGAGTTGACTGCTGTTAGCATGGCCTCCAGTGAGGAGTTGCCTCGCGTCTCCCCATGTGTGTGCGTTCCGGAGATCATTTTCAAAAAGAAAGGATTTGCAGACCGGGAAATAAATGGCTCGCGCCCAGAGCATTGATGAAGTGTTTTTGTTGTTTCAGCAGGTTAGTGCGGTTAGAGTAGTCGACAGACGTGTGCGATTTTCATGTTGCCGTTGCCTGGTTGGTCTCTCTGAGTTCGATGCCGTGCCGCTTGTCTCGATTTCGGACCTTGGTTGCAGTGTGGGTTGGTCTAACTTTTTTTTGGGAGGCGTTAGTCCAACGGAGGCAGCATACGTTGGTTTCGTGCTTTTTTTTGGGGGGGGTGGGGAAAAAAAAGTGCCGCGTCGTAGCGGACCCCACCATATCGCTTTCCCCCAAATCATCGTCAATGTCCACACATATACAGAGGCGAAACAATTGCGTCGCCGTGATCGGTGACGGGGCTATCACCGGTGGGATGGCTTTCGAGGCCATGAACTGCGCCGGCTACCTGGGGGTGCGCCACATGGTCATCCTCAACGACAACGGCCAGGTGAGTTTTTTTTAGGGCGCGTTGTGCGTTACGCCCCGCTCTTTCGCATCTCGTTCTGACGTAGAAAAGTGGCATCTGAAGTTAACGTCCAGTTTTTTTATGTGATGGCAACACACGCACGACTAAGGAAGAGTGTAGTGTTTCGCGCTTTTTTTTTCACGCTGTAAAACTGGCGTTTTTTTCTTTACAGACGGTTAGTGCGGTCGATGCTACTTGACGGGAAAAATCACACACAGAGAGCGAGAGAGTGAGAGAGGGGGGGGGGAGAAACGCGGGTCATCTACATGTAGGTAGGTATCCTGCGGATAATTTCCACTGCCATGCGGCGAGCTAGCCTTGACATACATGCGCACACGACGTCGTGATACATATATGTGTACCCACCAGGTCTCCCTCCCAACGGGGACCCACTCCGCCGGAGGCGTTGTCCCAGCGGGGGCCCTGTCCTCCTACACGGGGCGCCTCATGTCCTCGAGGTCTTTCAAGTCGGTCCGAGACGTCGCCAAGGCCTTCAACAAGCTCCTCCCCAGCAACATCCAGAACGTGAACGCTAAGATCGACGAGTATGCAAGAGGTGCGTGGAGGGAGCGGAGGAAGCGCACGTGGTCTGGGAGGAGCAGGGGTCAGGGCGGGGTCGGTTGTCGTGTTGTGGGGATGAGATTGGGAGTGCATCGGGAGACGGGGGAAGGGGGTTGCGTCCGTGCTTGAGCTCGTACATGTGCTGGCTTCTTTTTTTTTTTTTTTCGCAAGCAACGGGCTGTTGTGATTCCGTCGAGTGTTTGTGGAGTTTTTTTGACACTGACATGCACGCTTTATTCGCGTATCGATGATTGGTTTCTCGAGTCTTCGTTGAAGCTCTTTTTCTTTTTCTCCATCGTCCTTCGGTTGACTCCGCGGAGAATGACACGTCTTGCTTGTGTGGTCCGAGGGCACGGATGCCGGGGGCGTGAACAATAACCAAGGCTGCACCAGCAGAGCACCGCCAGCCATTTGTGCGAAACCCCCAGTATGCATTCGTTCATTATCACTCGCCGTTGATTATATATCCCTACCCTACCCTACCGTATGCTACCCAGGCATGATGTCGGGAGGTACCCTGTTCGAGGAGCTGGGGTACTACTACGTCGGTCCCGTTGACGGCCACGACTTGGCCAACCTCGTCCCCATCCTGGAGAACATCCGCGATAAGAAGGACGACAAGCCGGTGAGATGACATACTGTGTGGTACCACGCAATTGCCTTGTCTTTCGTTTGGCCCGTGCGGACATTATCATTAGGACGTATTTTTACGGGTGTGGCTTGCGCCCCTCTCTCCCTTCGGTCTGCATTGTAGTCGTATCATTCACCCTCGAAACAACACTTCGAATACTGAGGTTGTACTTTCACATGCCACTGTTTCCGGATTCCGGTGGACGGCTTGCCCTCCCACCCCTTCCGGTGTATGCAGGCACTACAAGTTGTCTCCGGCTAGTAATTAGCATGGTTTTTGGTAGTTTTTCATGTGTGTTTCTTGTTGCTGCCGTGCGTGTGTTTGTTGTTCAGGTTTTGCTCCACATCCGCACGGAGAAGGGCATGGGCTACCCCCCGGCCATGGCGGCTTCGGACAAGTACCACGGAGTGGCCAAGTTTAACGTCGCTACCGGCAAGCAGCACAAGGGGGTAAGTGACTGCACAGACTGGAGGACTGGAATACAGCGTCAGCAGGACATTGTCGTCTCAGAGCCGTGTATGTGACACGAGCGTGTGAGTGGGTCTTTATTATTAGCATCGACCGCGCTAACCGGCTGACCAATGAAAAGACGTCAGTCTCAGTGCTGTTGAAAACACAAAACACTTCTAAAGCGTGTGAGTGTGTCTCTATTATAGACCTATCGTCAGCATTAGCATTGTAGTGATCTGGAGCCGTGTACAAAGCACGAGGTGTGTTGTGAGTGAGTGAGGTCGCAGACCTATCGGCAGCATCAGCAGTGTAGTGGTCTCGAGCCGTGTGCAGAACAAATTGTGAGTGAGGCCGCAGACCTATCGACAGCGTCAGCAGTAGTCTCAGACCCGTGTACAAGCACAAGCGTGTGTGAGGGAGTCTGCAGGTTGTATACCGTCAGCAATAGTCATCGTCTTCTCAGAGCCGTGTATGTGGCACAAACATATGATGAGTGTGAGTGAGGTCGCACACCTATCGACAGCACCAGCCGTAGCCGTATCAGAGCGGTGTAGTACTTCCCGATCGTTTCAGTCCTTTTGAAGACAGGCGTGGGGGGTCACTTTTGTTTCACGGTACATATCCGTACGTCCTTGGCGGTTGGTTGCCATGATGAACACATGGATGAAGTGTATGCTCTCTTCTTTCAAGACCGCTCGTTTCACCTTCGCAAGTAACAGGTTGAAAACAGCGTCTCGACTCTATACCAGTGAGTGCAGTATTTGCCAGCAGCAACGCCAAAAGTCAACAGCAAGTGTATGTCAATATGTCAATGCTGTGTTTCTTTTGCACCAATCCCCCCGCCCCCCCCCCCCCCCCCCCCCTTCCCCGGGGATTTCGGGGGAACCCCCTTTGGGGTTATCTTCTTTTTCAAAAAAACCCCAACCCGCCTTTAAGGCCGGGTTTCCCCAAACCCCCCTCCCAATCCCCCCCCAGGGACCAATCGGGCGGGGGAACACCGGGCCCCCTGGCCGGGAAAAAATGGGGAAAATTTTTTTTTGGAAAAAAAACCCCCCCCCCCCCCCCCCGGGGGGCCCCCCCCAAAAAAAATTTTGTTTTTGGGGAAAGCTTGTTCCTTGCCCCCCCGAAAACGGGAGAAAAGGGGGGGGGGAAAAAACCCCCCTTTTTTCCCCCCCCCCAGAGGGGGGGGTTTCCCCCCC